AAATGTAATTAGAAGAGCAGAGATTTGATTGCGAGAAACGGGTAGCACGATTATCCATCGACAAGATGCTGGACGTGGCCGAAACGTACGTACGATTGCTGTAGAAGAAGAAATCTTGGAGATGATTCAAACAGAGCCGGGCATAAGCATTCGAGCTATATCAAGTCAACTTAATGATGTATCGCGTTCCACAGTTTATCGTGTTTTGCAAGATGAACGTATGCATTCCTATCATTTTTTATTGGTACAACATTTAAAGGAAAAAGATGCNGAACCTCGTATTCAATTTTGTCGCTGGTTGTTGCGTCAACATAACAGAGATAATAGATTTTCCACTCGAATATTATTTACCGATGAATTCCTTTTTACACGTGAAGGAATGTTTAATTCACATAATATGCATTATTGGGTAGAGGAAAATCCATTTGTAGTTTGAGAACAAAATTTTCAAATTCGTTGGAAATTAAATATTTGGGCTGGAATTATAGGCAACGAACTCATTGGACCATGCGTCCTTCCGGACAGGATGAGAGGCGACAATTATGTCGAATTTTTAACCGAAAACTTGCCGGATGTATTAGAGGATTTACCATTACATGTTCGTGAAACAATGTGGTTTCAACATGATGGAGCACCACCCCATAGTAGTAGACGTGCAAAACAGTATCTCGACATAACTTTTCCAAATTCTTGGATTGGCCGAGGTGGTCCTGTTGTATGGCCCGCAAGATCGTCTAATTTCAACCCACTTGATTATTTCTTGTGGGGTCATTTAAAAAACCTTATTTACCAAAATCCTGTGGAATCACTAGAAGATTTAGAAAAACAACTTTATAATGCAATAGCAACCATTACATCAAAAATGGTCCAACGTGCGCAAGACAACCTTTTACGCAGAGCAAATATGTGTATACAAATGGATGGTCTGCATTTTGAGCATATGCTTTAACATAATTTAATCAGCCACAAACATTTTCAAAACGTTGGAACAACAATTTTGAATAAAAATCATTCACATTGTATCTAATCGACTTATTTTATTTTTATTTGTTTTTTAGTAATATCAATTAGAAAATTTTTCTCTTATTAAGTAAGTTGTATTAAAACTAGCGATTAAAAGATATTTTTTATAAAATCTTAAGAATATCATAATTCTTATAAAATCTTTATCAAAATAGCGTACATGCTTACGCGCCACGCACGCCGTGCGCGCGCCGTCCCTGATTTATTTGTCTCAACCGAGAGCGCTTATTNGTTAGTTACAAGTTGCTCTCATTTAAAAATTATTGTTCAGACGCACTTTTGCCAGAGAGAAAAGTTGCCTCTTCTGACACATAAAATCACGGTATGCACTCCGTGTGCGCGAATTCTGGGACACCCTGTATATTTTTAAAACAC